GTGTACTCAGACCAGTAATATTTGGGGTCACAAGTTTTTGCCCTGGATATTTTGTGGGTCAGAAGATAAAAAGTTTGGGAACAACTGCACTAGACAACTTTTGCCAACTTATGAAACATTTTTATATCTAAATTGCTAATAAGTTATATACTGTATTTGATCAATTTGTTCAAATTACATTATGTACACATCCAAAAGAAGCTTCCTGTTGATTTTTTCGATTCCGTCTTCAATCTAATGTCTGTAAAAATGTTCACAAGTTGGTATAAGTTGTCTAGTGTGACAGGGCCTGTAGATGAATGCTAAACACAGCAAAGCCTCCATTAAAATTTACAAACCAAAAATCTGTAGCTAAAAACTAAAAACACAAAACGGTAGTTAAAATCTAAAAATAGACAATAATAATAATAGACAATAGATAAAACCTAAAATGAACCAAGCTGTAACAAAAAGCTAAACTTTGCAAAGCAGTAGCCAAAAAGCCTATTAAAGAGACACACTGGTTGTAGCTTAAAGCTAAACACAGCCAAGCTTTAGCTAAAATATCTAAAAATAACACAGCAGCTGTAGGTAAAAGTTAAAATTAGCAAAATAGCTCAAACAACAGACATTGACTGATTGTCGTTAAAGGCTAAACACAGCAAAGCCTCAGCTAGTCTAACAACAAAAATCCATAACTAAAAAGTAAAAACAACTCAACAGTAGCTGAAAGCTAAACACGAGACACTGACTGACTGTAGCTAAAAGCAGGAAAGGCTTAGCTAAAAGCAAAATATAGCTATAAAAGCCTAAAACAGCAAAACTGTTGCTGAAAGCTGAATATTTTCAAAACTGTACCTAGAAGCTGAATATTAGACAAAGATTTGCAAAGAATTAGCTAAAATTTGAAAGTTTGCTAGATCACTTTTTACCTACAAATAGGCCAAGAGATGTTATGACAATGGATTTCAGTTGACTCCTGGATGTAAAGTCGTAGCGCAGCTGTCATTTGGATGTTTTTTTAAGGTGTAGGAAGTTATCAAAACCACTACAATACACATCAGCATATGGTATAAAACAATGCTGTGTTCCTTGTTCTAATGCCAGAGTGGTTCCAGAGCACGCCAGAAGTATTGCTTTATTGACAAAGGACTTAAAGAATTAAAAAGAAAATAAGAGTAATTTTCAAGACGGGTTGCAGCAACATTTAGGTGTTTGCTTCAAGAGTTCAAAAGCTAAATAAAATCCCTGGGGTTTTTGCTGCAAATCCTAACGCTAGCATGCTTGAACAAAGCCCTTACTTCAGAGTTTACCATGTCAGCCATAAGCTCAAACACATTTTTCACATGTTTTGGATGAAAACTAGTTCTTATTAAAGAGTTGCAGTGGTTCTGTAGACAAGCATTATGTGGCATTAATTTCTTAAAATTAAATTCTTTTAAGCGTCGGATGGAAAAAATGTCGGTCACTTATTGACAATGTAGTTTAAAAGCAGCGAATATTTCTATTTTTGTGTCACTTTTGTTTGGTGTATTTGCTTGTACCTGTGGTGAGGATTTACTGACCTCAAAAACCTTAAAAGGACTTGACGGTTTTACCAGCAGACATTATTTATATAGCATATGAAAGGAACAGTAATACAAGCCTATCTCAGGTGCAGAAAGGCTCTTATCAGCCAACAGGAAACAGTCTTGGTGGTGGAGATTTGGGCATTCAGACATGTCATTTCTGTGCTCATTGTAAAAGCAGAATCCAAAGTTATCTGTTGATACCCTGATCTCCCTTCTTGAGTCAACGTGAGTGTGTTGGCACGTTAAACAGCTCGTTATCTCCGTCATACTGTAAAAGGAAAAGCATATTGACTATACACAGATACACGGGGCAGGCATAGCTCGGCGCACTTGGAATGACACGTCCGTACGTGGCTACGCCCGTATGGGAGTGTTAGCCAAAAATGAATGGGTTATTTTTATGACCATTGGACTAAACCAACCCAACACCTCTCACAGGCAGAACGTAGTGTCATGTTCTTCAACACAATGGTTAGAACACAAACTCGTATGACAAAAAAAAAAACCCACACAGCACTGCTGGTGTCTTCCAAAGATAAAGATCGAAACAGAAACATAAAATAAAATAAACCCTGCATTAACTTTAGCTTGAGCAAAGTGCAGCGTTATCTGTGGGGCAGTTTGTTAGGCAAATTATGGCTCCAGATAAACTCTGAGGGCATCGAACAGGAAACTTTGAGCACCAGCAAAAATCTTATCCAGATGAAGGAAAAGGCTATAAACATGTTGCTTTCTCACTCGCAATGAAGCACACATATTCAGTAATTCATAAAATCTGCATTTACCGAAACAGTTATTTTAATGTAATCTATATTAGCATTTTATTTTTACTATTTCAGCTTCTATGTATGCAGTATTTCTGCTAAGTAATAAATATTAGGCAATTCCAGCCTCAAAAATGTTTGAGACAGACAGTAATTTCTGCATCATTTAGTCTTCAGGGTATAACTAAAGTTTGCAGCCCACTCTGTTGGGATTTTTAATATAATTTGCAACACATCTGCATAAACTCTTCATTGTTGAAGAGAATAAAAATCCATTTGTTTTTGCTAACTCCACATTTTGTCCACGGGGACATTTTGGATTTAGTAGCCTCTTCTAGTGCTGCTCATTAATCTGAAAGCAACCAAATCCCTCAGTTTAATGTTCAAACTTTGTGGTGCTTTTCCTGGACGTTTCTGACGGCACTCTTGTTAGTTTGATCCTTGTACGACTGGCATATAACCGTGTTATAAACATGTAGAGCAATGACGCTTCCAAAGTTGGCAAATTTCAAAGAAATTTCAGGCCACAAGTTTTTTTTATTGGTATTAGGAGTTGTACTAATGTTTGTTTTTCAATTTTTTTTGTAGTTACACTAAGTGTAAGGCATGAAAAATGGCCTGCCAGTTTTATAAATCATATTGGGTTCCTTATCAGCTTCTCCTCAAACACAGTCAATAGGTTTGATTTCATTATCGCCTGCCGCTGATGGTAAAGGCGGTAATGATGTTTGGCTTCCATGTGAGTATTTGTCTATAGCGTTAGCAAAATATCTCATGAACCAGTGGACAGATTTGAATGAAAATCTCAAAAATAGGTTAGAAAACTGCAGCTTTGAGTCACCCAAATTAACATGCTCTCATGGAAATTCTTCAAGTTCTAATAGAAATTATTGAAACAAAATCTGAACAGTCTAAATGTACATCTGACTTGTATCTGGACCCTGAATGCCATTTATTTAACAGTTAGAGGAAGCCATCATGTCTGAGCCAGGCGAGAGCAGCTCCTGATTGAATGAGGGTGGATAATCGTCTGTGAGGAATTGTTTCGACTCCTCCTTATGATGATGCAAACATCACATCAATTCTTACTCCCTACTGGAGATTCAGCAGATATGATGGTAATTTAACAAAAAAAAGGGAGGGGGGTGTTTATCCTCTGTCTCCACATGATGCCTCATTACAGATGTACACACAGACTCATAATTGTCTTAAATATAGCTGCAATTACTTGGTGATTAATAAGACCTCGAGCTTGAACTGCTGTTGCACAGTGTTTTGTGCTCATTAGTCTTCGGAACACATCAATACTCATCCAGATTGGAGTTAGGATTTGCAGAAAGGAGGGGGGAAAAGAGTGAAAGTTTTTGGACACATTGCTTATTCTTAACTAGGTTTGTAGGCAAAAGGTCACAGATGGGTACTCCCACACAAACGGCCTGCTTTTAAAGGCCCGCGTATAGAAAGCTTTCGGTGTCGGGTCTCATGATGCAAGACAAAATGGCACCGGA